TACTCTGCTATCGTTCTTTCAAACAGCCCAAATATCTCTTCAGCAGCCGCAGTTAGTCGCTGCTTCACCAACGCTCTCAGCATTTGGACTTTAGACATGTTCACACTTTGAAAACACAACAAAGACACTCTGCTAACACACGTTTCCACTAGACTCCATCTTGTTCAAACAGTGTGACGTTAGCGACAGTAAAGAATACAGCTTCCGGGGTAAACGAGTTAAGGGACTTCAAAATAAAAGTCCAGAAGTGTTACTGGAATTACAGACTGTCCTTTAGAAACACAAGCAGATAGATAAATGAATGAAAAACACTCTTTAGAGAATGATGTTCATTGACCTTAAAAGTTTATTCTTGAACTTGGAAAGAAAAGCTACAAAACATTTCACAAAACAAGGTCCAAATAAGTTGTTTAATAAACCAGCAAACATTGTGAAAGACTCAGTTTCAAGTTGTTTAGCAGGTGTATCATATCTCAAACTATAAACAGTTGCTTCCACTCCAGGTAGGATCAGGACAAAGGGATTAAGAAAAGCATTAACCCTAAAAGAAATATCAGACCTGAAGTCTCCCTCCTTCAAGTTTAATCTGACCTGACTGCATGGATGAAATCATTAGTATCCTACAGGACCCTTTCCATACAGCATGTGAGCAAAGAGAAAGAGGCACAACATAATGTCTTGATATTCTGTGCGTGTGCACTTTCAGATATTATAAAATAGGCTGAAGTGTTAATAAAACCTAACTGATGAGGAAATACATATTACTTGTTTTCTTGCTCATTTGATATAAAGAACTGTTTCTAGTCACCAGGATTGGAATTCTAAAGGTGAAACAATACCCAACTCTGAATGCTGTTTGCTCACAGCAGAAGAAGGATGACATTCTTTTATCCGTCATGAGTTCTCATGTGTGTATGTAAAGTTCCACTTTGTGTAAATGATTTACCACACTTGGAGCAGTTAAAAGGTTTCTCTCCTGTATGACATCTCGTGTTTTTTCAGATGTCCACTGTGAAGAAATCTTTTTCCACATTCAGAGCAGTTAAATTGTTTCTCTCTTGTATGGACTGTCATGTCTTTTCACATGACAACTAGATCACCTTTGGGCGTTAACTTTGATGTTAACTTGCCTTCCCTGTCTCCATGTAACAGTCTGATTAATAATTTTAACTTTGTAGTATTTTTTGTCTGATGAAAGTCACATCGACCGAAACGTTACGCCAATAAATGTTTGACTGAGAGCGATACAGTATGCGGGAACCTTTCTTTGATTTTTGGGAACTTTGTAGTATCAGAAATTATGGATGACATAGCACCTCTAAAAATTAAATATATGTCGGGCAAATCAAAGGCACCCTGGACAAATGTAGAGAGAATCAGGGCCCTGAAAAGAAACTGCCGTAAATGTGAGCGCAAGTGGCGTAAGTCAAAATTGCAGGTTGACAATGATATCTATAAGGATATGCTCAATTTTTACAACAAAGAAGTGAAACTATCTAGAGAGCAGTACTTTTCTCAAATTATCACTGAAAATTTACATAATTCTAAGTTTCTTTTTTAGCACAATTGATTAGCTAATTAATCCCTCTAGATCAATTCCTGTGGATCTCCACAGCTCTGATAAATGTAATGAATTTGCATTGTACTTTAATTCCAAAATCTCAAAAAATCGGAATAATATTGTGGCTTCCCTTACTGGTGAGTCTGACCATTTCTCTTCAACCCATGAACTACAGGAGATTGTGCAGCAGCTTAGTTCTGCAACATGCTCTCTTGATCTAATGCCCACTTAGTTTTTAAAAATGTTTTTAGCTGTATAGTTGATGACGTACTTGAGATTGTAAACACCTCCTTATGTTCTGGAATTTTCCCCATGTCTCAAACATGCAGTAATTACAACTCTGTTAAAAAAGGATAATCTTGATCCTTTTATTTTAGAAAACTATAGACCAATTACAAACCTTCCATTTCTGGGGAAAATTCTGGAAAAGGTTGTTTACAAACTTTTAAACTCCTACCTGTTGTAAGGATTTGCTAAAGGCAAGTTGGTTATTGATTATTAATTACTAATTGTAATTAATTAAGAAATATATTATTAATGTGTATTAATAATTCCAGGGCACAACCCTGGATACAGGGATCAATGACCAACTGGTATTTAGACAAAAAAGGGAAAAATCCTCATCTCAGTTTGCTAATATAGGTGGATATTAACGATCAAATAATTCAGAAGGTGTGAACCCGAGCACTGACCATCACAACCAGCTAATGATACAAAAACAATGCACAAATCACCACAGAGGACTGCTCTAGTAAAGTCACAAATGTTTATTAAACAATTATGAGTCAAGAATCACAAGCTGTTCACTTAATAAACATACTAAACTGACTAATTAGAAGCAACAAATCAAAGCGTGCAAGTGGGTCTCTGCATGTGTGTGAGTGTGAAAGGAGAGAGAAAGAGACAGAGAAAACGGCAGGCGTGACCTCCTGGGGGACACATCACGTCACACCAGGTACTGATCAGTGTTGGGTAAGGGTTACTTTAAAAGTAATCAAAGTACGTTACTGCATTACTTTTTAAAAAAGTAACCAGTTACTTTACTGCGTTACTCCCTGAGTAAAGTAACTCAATTACTTTTAAAGTACTTCTAACGTTACTCCCTGAGAAAAGTAACTCAAGCACTTTTAAAGTACTTTTGAGTATTCTACATTTCCTATTGGACAATGGACCACAGGGCGCTAAGCCTACATTTTTTTTTGTCTTGAAAATTAAAGTTATGGACCACTTGCCCTTCACTGAGATCCAATTCTCCCATCACAGCAGTCACTTTGACCAGTAGAAACACAGAACAATCTGCTGCAGTAGACAACTGTATGACAACAACACCCCAGCATTTTTAATATTTCCTCTAGGGATGTTAACACACAAAGTAAAAGGGGGAAATGATGGTGTGAAACAGCAGAGGCACTTTGTCAACCCGCTGAGTTAACGTTACTGTCATTAGCATCAAGCTAGCAAACAATGGTACATCCTCATGGTCGGACATAAAGTAGTAACATTAACAAATAGCGGTGGGGCTTTTACTCAACACAACTGCAGAGGCTCCCAGCTTCATTTGAAACAAACTACATTATAGACGGTCCATTATTTATTAATCCCTCTGTGTGTTTATATATTTACTTTTTATCCGCTCCGTTGTCTTTGTAAAGTTAACATATCGCAGAAACATTTGTCAGAACTTCCTGTGGAAGATACAGTAGCTTGACAGTTTACGTGTGGCGCTTCAAATGTAGCTCCTGCCATCTGCTGATGCTTTTAGGTGACTACAACAACATGTTGACTGGCACATGAACAGACACAGTGACTCAAATAATAGTCAAACTGATAAAAATAGGACAAGAATAACCCGATGACATCACACACGGCGTGAAAGACGTCTGGGATAATTGGTGAGTACCAGCATGTAGCGTGTACCAAGCATAATGCAAGTCCTGAGTCTGAAATATGTCTGTCAGCGAGTCCTCCTCCACCTTTTTAGACTCCACCATAGACAATGGCAGCATTTCTCCGACCACGTAGCGAGCCACAAGCTCGGTGGCTTCTTTCAGACTGATAAGTTTAACGTTATCTCCGTTATTAGAACCAAACGACAGCCGTTGCTGTTTCGGAGCTGAAGGACCAGCATTCTAAAAGTAACGGAAGTAACTGATGTCTTGTTTGAAAATGTACTTAAGTATTTGATTACTCAAACAGCAAACTAACGCGTTAGGTTACTCATTACTGCAAAAACTTATCAACGTACTCTATACCCAACTCTGGTACTGATTAGAGTTGTACCGATACCAGTATCGGAAATGCCTCAGATACTGCCTAAAATGCGGCATCGGGCATCGGTGAGTACAGCCTATGACCAATCCGGTACCACGCACACTATCATTTGAACATCGCGATGTGCACATGTGCAATAGTCACATCGCAGGACATGTGATGTTTTCTCTTTTTTTAGAACATGTAAGCTTTTGTTTTGCTTCAGAAGCTCTGAAGCTCCGCTCGTTGCTCCGTTCCGCTCGCTCCTCTCTCACTGTCTCTCCCCCTCCCATGCACACACTGCAGTCACACACTGAAAATGAGCAACATGCAAGAGGGAGAAACGGTAAAGGAGGATTTATGCCTGGTACACACTACACGACTTTTCTGTCAGTTCTGAAAGTCACTATGTGACATTTACACGATTGTGGAGTCATAAAATCGTGCCGTGACTTGGCTGACAGACATGACACACTACACAATGGTACTCACCAATTATCCCCGGTCATTTTTCATTATGTGTGTGATGTCATTGGGTTATTCTTGTCCTATTTTTATTCATTCACTGTGTCTGTTCATGTGTCAGCCGAAATGTTGTTGTAGTAACGTAAAAAGCAACCAGACAGCAGGAGCTCCATTTGAAGTGCCGTATGTAAACATACAAGCTACTGTATCCTCCACAACCAAGTTCCTACAAATGTTTATTTCACAATAAAAGAAAATGGAGGAACTCTCTCAGCTGAGATTATAAGGGGCTTTTAATTTGAAACAAGTTCTGGAAGTGCTAAGTTTGAGATGACGACATGATGTGTTAACTTTATCAAGGCAACGGGAGCAGTTAAAAAGTAAAAATATAAAAACACAGAGGGATTAATAAATAATGGCCCTTTTATGATGTAGTCTGTTTCAAATGAAGCTGGTAGCCTCTGTAGTTGTTGTGAGTAAAAGCCACGCCACTATTTTTTAATTTTCTTACTTTAAGTCATCTGGTGAAAATTTTTGTATTTGTTAATACAAGCCCTACATTCTACTGTAGCCTTTAAAATGTATTTTTTTTTTTACCAAATTGTGTGGCTGCATTTTAACCTGTGTCTTGATCTGTGTCAACACTGGATAATAATTATTATGAAAAAGTTTTATGGCATTCATTCTACTATTATGTATTTATTTCTTAATATTTTACATAGAGTTTTAGGAGTTGAGACATAAAACAATTCATATCCCACCCATTTTTATTTTACACACTGGTATCAGATTGGTACTTGGTTTCGGCAGATACCTAATGTTCAGGGATCAGAATCGGTATCGGGAAGGAAAAGTTCACAGTCACAGTTAATAGTCACACTTAAATCACATGCTAAATTTAAGGTCTCTGCCCAGACTATGGCTCTCTTACTTGAGTTGCACGGCGCGACAATGTGTGTCCAGTCTGTTGCTCCAGAGTATGTATGTGTGCTGTAACGTCCTTCAGCGGAATGAAAGATGCTGTCCTTGGTGTGGCAGAAGAGGGATCAGCGGAGTCGACTCGGTTGAAGAATGAAATGTCAAATGAAATGTGCAACATCAATAAAACTGACTTTGACGTTTCAGATGGCGCCTGTGACAAAATCTTCCCCCACACTCAGAGCAGCTAAATGGTTTCTCTCCTGTATGAGATCTCATGTGTAACGTCCGATGTCCCCTCTGACCAAATCTTACACTCAGAGCAGCTAAATGGCTTCTCAGAAACAATCAAATCACTGACAGGGACTACTTCCTTTTGCAGAGAGTTTAAATCTGACTGAGGTTTTTTGGTTTCCGTCCAATCATCACTGGTTTTCAGTGTATTTGTATAACTGTCCAATCTGTGTAAAGGATTTCACACAAACACTGAAGCTGAAAAGTCTTTGTCCTGTATGAGTTCTCATGGTTGTTTCTAAATTCTTTTTCCAAATAAAAGCTGAATCAATTTTCCCCTTCATGAGTTCTCCTCATATGTGTATGTAAATTTCCACATTGTGTAAATGATTTTCCACAAATTGAATGGCTAAATGGTTTCTCCTGTATGATATCTCATGTGTGCCTTTAAGTTTTTCATGTAACCAAATCTTTTCCCACACTCAGAGCAGCTAAATGGTTTTTCCCCTGTATGAGATCTCATGTGTTTCTTCAAATCTCCACTTTGAACAAATCTTCTGCAACACACAGAGCAGGTAAATGGTCTCTCCCCTGTATGAGAGCTCATGTGTGTCTTCACATCTGCTCTGAAACTAAATCTTTTCCCACACTGAGAGCAGCTAAATGGTTTCTCCCCTGTATGAGATCTCATGTGTGCCCTCAGACTTTCACTGTGACTGAATTTTTTCCCACACTCAGAGCAATTAAATGGTTTTTCTCCCGTATGCGATCTCATGTGTACTGCCAGATATCCCTTGTGTCTAAATCTTTTTCCACACTCAGAGCAACTAAATGGTTTCTCTCCAGTGTGAGATCTCATGTGTCTCTTGAGACTGTCGCTGCGACTGAATAATTTTCCACAATCAGAGCAACTAAATGGTTTGTTTCCTGTATGAGTGTTCATGTGATTCTTCAAATCTCTTCTGCATCTAAATCTTTTCCCACACTCAGAGCACCTAAATCGTTTCTCACCAACAATCAAATCACTGACAAGGACTTCATCATCTTCCAAAGAGTTTAAATCTGACTGAGTTTCTCTGGTCTCCTTCCAATCATGACTGTTAACAGCCTCAGATTGTAAATGTGTATCTGGATCTGAGTTCCTGGCTGGTTCTGGTCCTCCACAGCTAAAAGGTTTCTCTCCTGTATGACACATCAAGTGTACCTTAAGAACTCCGCTGTCATCAAAACTTTCCCCACACTCAGAGCAGCTGAATGGTTTCTCTCCTGTATGAGTTCTCATGTGTATTTTCAGATTTCCTCTTTCACGAAATCTTCTCCCACATTCGGGACAGCAAAACGGTTTCTCTCTAGTATGACATTTCATGTGTATCTTCAAAGCTTCACTGTGACTAAATCTTTTCCCACACTCAGAGCACCTAAATGGTTTCTCTCCTGTATGAGATCTCATGTGTGTCGTCAGAAGTCTACTGTGACCAAATCGTCTCCCACAGTCAGAGCAGCGAAATGGTTTCTCTCCTGTATGAGATCTCATGTGTGTGTTCAAAATTCCACTGTGTCTAAATCTTTCCCCACACTTAGAGCAGCTAATTGGTTTCTCTCCTGTATGAGCTCTCATGTGTATCTTCAGAACTCCACTGCGACTGAATAGTTTCCCACACTCAGAGCAGTTAAATGGTTTCTTTCCTGTATGAGATCTCATGTGGTCCTTCAGATGATGATTTCGACCAAATCTTTTCCCACACTCAGGGCAGCTAAATGGTTTCTCACCAGCAATCAAATCACTCACAGGAACGTCATCATTTTTCAGAGAGTTTAAACCTGACTGAGGTTCTCTGGTCTCCGTCCAATCATCACTGTCATCAGTCTCTAGTTGTAAATGTGTATCTGGATATGAGTTCCTGACTGGTTCTGCTCCTCCACAGTCCTCTCCCTCTGCTTCTGTTTCCATCTGTTCAGTGTGTCTTTGATGAAGCTGTGAGGACTGAGGTTTCTCTTCATCATCTTCACTCTTCACAGGGACAGGAGTGGATGTGAACTTGGTGATATTATCCTCCTCCAGCCCTTGAAGCTTCTCTCCCTCCTGACTGATCCAGAGTT